CCAAGTATTCTCGACCACTCCTAGCCCGCCAGCTTCACTTAACAGTGCTAGTATTCTCTTATCAGCCACTTCTGGCTAGTAGTGAGTATTCTTTGACAAGCCCCTCCGGGCTTTACAAGTATTCTTTTCCTAGCCTCTTTAGGCTCTACAATGTTGGCTAGACAGGTTTCGTTTGAGTGTATGGGTTACTCTCACAGAGAGGAAACATATAAAATCTACACTCTCTAAGGTTTCACTACCTTAGTCCTACAAAGACTTGTGTTAGAGTGTTTTGATTACTCTCATGGAGAAGATACATAGGTTTACAACACTCACTAAGGTTTTGTTCATAATTGACATTTTGAACACCTTAGTCTACAGAGATAACAATACAATATTACATTGTACATATGATTATGAAAGCTCATCTCTGGTCTCTCTGTCTTATGGGCTTGATATTATTTTTTATCAAAAACCCAGGGCAAAGCCTATGCTTATTCCTTCGTTGCTTCTTGCCAACCTTTTCCGGTTTGATGTTATTGCATACTTATAGGCCTGTAAAATTTTGCCCGTTGCATATGTTCGTTGAAGCTAATATAGTCATTCATGACTAGTTTGATCCTTTCATTTAATGCATTTTGTCTTGCATTAAATGTTACTTCCTGTTCTTAGACATTGCATGTATTCTTCTTTGTCCTATTGTTTGACTTTATCTGAGACCTAGAAATTGTTTGTCTTTTTTTGGTCATGTAGCAATATAGCCATTGTCCTTTTCTGAAAAAACGATGCACTTTTTCTTACACATGCATGCTCTGCTTTTGCGTTCTTCGCTTCTTCTTTGTTCCTTCATTTATATCACGTGTTTTACGTTGAAAGCTTTTGTGTGATCATAGACGATGCTTTGAGTAGTCTTTTGAGACTTGATAAGTGTTTGCACGGTAGTCTTCGTCTATGTCTGTTAATCTCATGCATCTCACGTCTTGTTCTCCATCTGAGTATTCTGTCGTTGATGCTTTGGCGTCTTATATGGCCTGATTATATTACAGACAAACTTATCTATTCGTCCAAAGTATCTTTTAGTCTGTGCTACTCTTGACCTTGATGCACGATTGACTTTCTTCTAACCTTAGACATATGCCTTGTCTGATCTGTGTTCCAGAATAGTTGCACTTGACACAACTTTGTTTGGATATTTTATGATCATCTAGCACATATTCGTGTTCCATCTGTTCATCTCTTGACACTCGGTTTCCTATGTCACTTGTTACATCTGTCTCAACTTGTCCGGTTCGTGTCTTGCCTTGACTATTCTTCATAGGCTTCATCTGATACTTCAGTGTCTCATTCTGGTCCTAGTCCTCTTCCGTCCGTGAGCAGACTTCATTTTTATGCTTGACTATCCATCATCTGATTCTTTTATCTAGGTTGCACAATCTTCTCCTAGACTACTCTTCGTGTATTGCTAGCGGCAATATGCCATGTGATGCTTTACTGGCGCCACATGCATGATAATATGTAGTCCGTGTCCATACATGTGCATTTTCAATGTTATATAATTAATTGATATTTTTATGTCTTGGATGAGTGAGATGTAATATTGTTATTAATAAATCTATGCTATATCTGTCTTGTTTGTGTTTGGCTATCCGGTGTGTATTTATACACTGTGAGCTAGAGTGAGATGTTTCTCACTCCCTTTTCTTTTTGTTGTTCTCCTTTGACTGTTGTACAGGTGATTATCAGCATGAGGCTGGAAATGTAGGTGATGAAGCTTAGGCTTCAGAGTTTGGCTTTGCTCTGATAGGACATGTGACATCGGGGCGTAGATGGGATTAAATTAGAATGTTCACTTATTAAATTATTTTTGGAGACTTTACTTTTATTTTATTTTTTTAAATTTTGCTGATTTTGTTAAGTTATGCATGTGGTACTCTCTATCTGAACCGTTTGATTTTTTTTAATTATAAAATGTTTTATTATTCAAATTTTATTATTATGTGTTATGATATGCGGGGTAGAGGGTGTCACATTTAGTGGTATCAAAACAGGTCGATTCAATCGGCCGTTAGTTATGAGTCTACTGTGCTTGTTTGATTGTTGAATGATGGAATGAATTAATTGTGAAATTTATGCTAGCGTGATGATTGATTATGTCTGTTGTTTATTTGATTGAGTGTACTATTTTCTTAGATTATGGCTGGTAGAAATGATCGTGCGATTGCTGATGCCCTCCAAGCATTGGCACAAGCTGTGAGTAACAACAATAGGGCTGAAGTTGCTCCTAACTGGTTGGAGCAATTTCAACGAAATAATCCACCTACTTTCAAAGGAGGATATGACCCAGATGTTGCGATGAATTGGCTAATGGAGATCGAGAAGATTTTCAATGCCACGGAGTGTCCTCTCGCTCAGAAGGTGAGACTGGCTACCTTCATGTTGACTGCTGATGCCCATTTTTGGTGGGAAGGAGCACTTCAAAGGATGATTGATGGAGGAGTGCAATTGAATTGGGACAACTTCAAAAGGGTCTTCCTTGAGAAGTATTTCCCGGATGATGTGAGGAGTCAGAAGGAAGTTGAATTTCTCGAGTTGAAGCAAGGGAATGATACAGTGGCAGAGTATGCTACATAATTTGATGCTCTGGTTCGCTATTGTACTCATTATCATGGTGAGGGTGGTGAAAGGGCTAAGTACATTAATTTCGTGAATGGCCTTCGTCCTGAGATAAAGACAGCGATCAATTATCAAGAGATTTATCACTACTCGACGCTTGTCAACAAGAGTAGAATCTACGACCGTGACAACCGTGCACGTGCTATTTTTTACAAGGGAGCTGGAGGTCCTATGCGTGCTGCAAGTTCTAATGCTTCGGGTAAAAGTAAGCCTTACTCCGCTCCTGCCAAGATTCAAGGAAATCATGCTAAGAGTAGATTCGTTGCTGGAAATTCTTTCGTAAGTGGTGTTGCTAGTGTAGGAGGCTCTGTTTCTACCCCTACTAGTTGTCAGCTGATTTTGATTACATTATCGACAAGGTATTACAACGACTAGCTTCTTGGGGGGGAAAACTGTTAAATCGAGCTGGTAGGGTAACATTGGTTAACTCCGCCGGGCTTATTTTCCTTTT